AGAGATTTGTATATATTTAGCTAATATTACACCTATTCTAGAAAACTCGAAGTTGGTGTGAAGGTGAGGCACTTAGTAGATTGAGTGTAGAATTGCTGACCTTTTTTCTTCCGCTCCATTTTGAGATCGAGAAGGGTTGGTAGAGGGAGAAAAAAGATTATAAAGTCAAAGATGGTATTGACTGTTGACGTAAAGAAGTTCATGGCCATCATATTCCAGCAGCCCTGAGTCATGTCAGCATTTATTAGCATCTCAGGGGCCTGACTCACACGTGGGAATGTGTCAAGATTCCAAGCAGCGCTCATTGGTATGCACTGAAAAATTGCAGACTATAAACTTTTAACAACCGACCACTTTCAACCAAAGGTAGACACATTACTTACAAAGGTAGTGAACATTGTGAAGATACATACTAAACAGCCAGTCCAAAACACGACCCTTTTTTGCGTCCCTGGCGCGGCGAGTAGGTGTAATTGAGCAAGCATGCTGGCTTTGATCAACCTATGTTCACTGATGAGCAATAGATCTCTCAAGTAATTTGCGGATTTGGGTGGAATTACCCAACGAGTGCCTGATACACAGAGTTTTGTGCTAATCCAATCTTCATACTCTCTTGTAACATCTTTGGTCTTGCGCGCGAGTACTCGATATGCTTGCCCATACCAGTCACGATTTGAAAATGAATCAACACACACGATGCAATATCCACGAATGATGATATAACGACAAGCCATTCCGCTAAGTTCAAGCGCGTAGTCTTCAAGAGATACAAACGGCTAAAGAGTCTGGGTCAAGTCAGCCAGAAATCTGCTAACGACGAACAATGAGTGATTTCTTACCGGAGGATGACTATCAAGAGCGCAAATCCGAGAAAAGAAAAGGTAATGGAGTAAAGCATAGGGCTGACATCTTGCTCCATGTATCCGGGATCGCCAGGCTTCAGGGCCATTGCCTCGAGGTTGTATCAACGTTGCGGGGTTTGCGCGGTGACAGTTTCGTGTCGGGGGAGGGGGGGGGGCGAGTGAATGTTCCGACGCTCAATGTCAGCTTGGGAACACGCCCTCCCGCCTTCAATATTTTGCTGTCTTTAAGGTCATGCCGTCTTTAAGATCATACCGCGTCGCTTCTCTGTGCATGAAGGCAACGAGCCTTGACTCGTTCGATCTACCAAGCGAGGAAGTTCGTTGCAAACTAGGTTTCTCATGTGCCCCACATTGTGCCGTACCTCAGCACTAGCACGTGGAAGCAAACCGGCGGGCCAATAAGCCCGCTCGAATTATGCCCGAATCCGGTCATCGAAACCCCTTTGGTCGTAGAAGTCTTTGGGGAAAGTGCGGGGAGCGGCAGGAGAGTTTGGCTCGCTCCGGGGTCCAATTAGTTTAATCACGCCAACCCATGGTAGTTAGATCCGTGTACGAACTGAGTTAGTTGGCTAAGGGATGGTATTCGCGAATGTCTCCTGGCCAGTCTAATTCGTGAATGCGTCGAGTGGCTGTTCCCCCTTTGCCCCACATTCCCGCGGCCTCCCTTGTGGCAACTTGACATCAACCCGCACACTAAAGCTTGATTCGGTGTCGGGACACGAAACGGTAATATGGCTAACGCGCAGACGGGTCTGAGCTCATGCGAGTAGTAGCGTGTGTGACGCCCAATTCTTTCAGCTCTATGATCACGCAGCCTCGGTTATGACTCGCCCAAGAGCGATGCTCGATGATACGGCCGGACAGTCCCTTTTTCCATACTCGGGGTTAGACAGCTGACTCGTGGTCACCAATCGCAACGTACCAAGGGGCAACGCGGGGCGTTGCATGGAAGGCCTTAGATTGTGGCCCTACTTCTGTAATTCTGCGATAATAATATGATAGCCACTAGTAGTTGACTTTGATTACCCTATCTAGATGAATGACTTCCATTCGAATTCTCTAAAGGTATAAATGTCCGACCTGCGTCGTTTCGTGGTTAACAAACGAACTTGTAGAGATCCAAGCATCCCATCGTCGAGCATGTTGTGTTGTTGACGCCGTGTCCAGAGACCAATGTTCGATGAGAACCGCCTTAAGATTCGTATTTAGCTCACTAGGTGGGATACTGCGGATCAATCCACTATCAATTCTGAGATGAACTTCTCAACTTGGTTCAACGAGGTCAACTATCCCAAAGCCTGACATTTACTGTTATAAAACTCATGGCGGAGACCTTCTTAACGTTTTGATCAGACTTGGCTCAGCACTTCATAATTCGCTCCATTGATGTGCAGAAGCAAATGACGATGCCACAAGGCATTCATGCTCCCAGTTGTATTGAGCCATGCCGCCCCCTCAATTCACTCTTTTTTGTCGGGCAGAGCTATGTATCATCACGATGGGCCATCGACACAGGCAGGGGTCTCATTGTCATCGACACACTTGATAATGCTGAAGACGCCCAAGTCGTCCTGCTGCGCGATATTGCCTACTATGACTAGTGTACAGTTGCCAATTTGGTGGCGCTGTCTATCTATGAAAACGTCTGGTACCCTGGTCTGGGCCTAAGATATGGCCTAATCTACTATTGTGAAGGCAACCGGTGCACTGACCAAGGACAATGTGTTGTTGGTCGACGGGCAACAGTTTGTGATTCGCAACAAATCTGTCAGCGCTATTGCCACTCCGGGTCACACATCGGGTTACTATTCTTTCATCTTTCCCATGTGTGAAGCAGGCAAGCGCCACAACGCCGGCTTCTACTTCGGGAGTGACATTCCGTCGTCGGCTGACGACAAGATCAGTCAGGCGTTGTCATTCCAGAAGTTTGCGAATGCCTCGCAACATGTAGGTGTCGATCTCTTGTTAATCAATCGCTAGGATCAAGCGACCCTGTTCAGGATTTCGACTTTTCGGTCACACGATCTTGCAGCCCCCTAGCAGAATTGCATCATTTCTAACCCTTTCGTAATTGATGCCGATGGATACTTGTGTTGGGTCGAAATGATGGGAATGTGTATGCGAACGATGGATGCAAGGCTTGTTTAGTCCCTTCCGGCTTCGATGTCGCTAGTGGTCGTCTTTCTAGCCATCAGCAGAGGTTATAAGGATAGGAAAAAATAAGGAGGAGGTAAAAGATAGTCGAAAGAAGGCTTGAATTCCCTCGCAAGCGAGCTAGCCAGCTGTCCTCCTATAGGCTAAGCTTGAAGTTGGGGGTAGATAGCGTACCGTGAATATTTGTTCACGTGCCAGATTGGAGTTTATCTGCTGTGTTGTTACTCGATTAGAATCATGTATCATCTTTCCTTGTATCAAGAGCGGATGTCTCGGATACACTGCCCGTATGCGATAAAAATCTGTTGGTTGTTATATCTACTCTGTTCGTCTCGGGCTAACCCCTGGACTAGCGCCATAGGCGCTGTGGTCCCCACTCGATTTTGTGAACCCAGCTCCATGCAGAAACACAGAATTTGATACCATTAGTATGCTTGAGCAATCAATCATAAGCGCTGATTATCAAAAACTATCCATAAAGCCATAACTTCATCTCTAATGGAGATCATTGCCACGCCTCAAAATTATTCAGATCACACATGTTCTATTCGGTTTCGAAGAAAGGATGTTGAAGAAATTGAGAGTGCAGTCATACACCATGAACGTGATGCTACTTGACAACTGTTGTACACCATCAGCCAATCACTCTTCAAAACATTAGCTACAGGCTGCAAGTAATTACCGTGAGTCTTAACAGCCTCGGCGTGGTAGCTTTCTAAAATACAAACAATCTTTCCTTTATCAACATTTTCGTTGCAATCGAGATCACACTACCTCTGTAGTTTCCAATACTCTGGATTCTAGTTTTGATATTGTCGAACAGCATTGATGCATAGCCATAGATCATCAGCCTTGACATTACAATAGCAGATGCCAAACACTGACACTGTCATGATCCCACTACCGGCTCCAGTGAATGTTGTCGTTGTCGCGCCACACATCTTTTCTGGCCATACTTCCCTCAACTGATCATTGAGTGTGCCAAAAGTCGTGAATCCCACAGCGCTGTTTTTACCCTGCTTACGCAGCACTGGCATAAGACCCTTCCACAAAGGAAGTACTCCATCTTGTCGCGCTGTATACGCAACTAACTGAGACACAGAAAGCCGTCCCAAATGGCCCCCTGATGCAGCATCATGTATAAATCTTGGCTCTCACGCCTCACCCGGTGTAACAACGAGGACACTTTCTGTCGCTCCGGTGCATAGCATTGACGTGAGTTTGAGCCAGGAATTCCGTACTGCAGACCCATTACTCATGGTTGGAGAGAGAAAGTAGGTTGTCAAGTTTCTTTTCGCAGTCTCGAAGAAGAAGAAGAAGAGACCACCGCTTTTGAGCGCATTACTTATCGCGAGAGTTTGACATCCAGCGTACACGCCTCTAGTCCCAGGATCTTCGACTGTGGATCTGAGAATAATGAAGGATGATGTGGACTTTCGGCCGGGTGAGGCAAGATCCAGTTAACGGCGCGTTTTGACAAATTCGGCTGGGTACTATTAATACGATAAGCTTTTATCTAATGATGAATGCAAGAATTGCAATATGCGTCATACGGGGGATAGGCATGACTAATTGTGACAAAGGTTTCTGATCCGCCAGCCAGGCCGCCTGCTTTTATGCTAATGCTAATCAAGTGCGGGGAATGTTTCATGGTTTTTGTTTCTTCGACGGGGTTTTCGTGCCGTATTCGAGCATTCAGATGTTGTATTGTTGCTCACAAATCAACAGGTTGCACAACATATATCTATGAACCTTCAGAGACATTGTACATCAAGGCTGGGGCAGTATACATCTCTCTCGACCCACAGCGCCAGCGCTGGCACTCAACTCCGAGCATAACTGTACCAGCTGCTTCGGAAGATGTCCGAAGTCCAAGACGCGCAAAATGGGTGCTAACATCAGCTTGTTGGAACTAGTGAGTAACTGGAAATGGTGGCTCGTAATGGCTCGGACGTTGACCGAGATGGCAAACACTTTTGTGGATTGAAGAGCTTGAGGTCCGGGGCTCGCCTGTAGTAGCTCAACTGCGCACAGCCTTCGTTTAGAGGGTCATCCAACCAACATGGTAGCCTAATGGCAATCACGATGATGCACCACCTCATCAAGAAAAAACAACAGCTATGTCCTGTAAGATGAATGGAGATAGTAGATGGCAGAAATGATGCACATTATTTCACCGCATCGAAGCGCGCAACAATATCTTCGAGCTATCACGATGCGTCTTAGATAGTACATACTAACCTGTCTAGTTCCAAGCAATCAATGAGAATTTCACGACCCTTTTGGTCATTTCCACGATGCGTATTGTATGGAAATTACTATGAATCGGAAATTTCTGACTAGGGAGATTCCTATCGGACGATTGGCCTCTACTCGACGTCGGTCTGTGCACCGGCTATGATGCAAGTGTAATTGATGTGTTTGTTCAAATATTTCCTGTCTAGTAAGAGGAATATCCCAAAGTACATGAGCATTCCTACTGAACTCCTCCTCCTTCGACTTGTTTCTTCCGTCCAATCTACTACCTTCTCAACAAAAAGTCTGCTATCTAGCCCTTCAAATCTATTGTGTGGCCAATCTGACGTGAAAATAAGCCTATCCTCAGCAAAATTTAGCAACTCGCGTGGGACACCCTCAACACCACAATAATCCAGGTCCTTGTCGAACCGATAGGCGCCCAAGAACTTAAGATATGTACTTTCGACTTTCAATATGTTGACCAGAGATTGGAAGCCAAAAAGGAAATATGGATCGAAAAGTAGAGTTCTATTCTCGGGAGACGGCAGATTTGGTGCGCCGAAGTGGGTGATGGAAAGTGTAACGCAGAGGTCTGCGACAACGGGCTCAAGCTTTGGGAAATCGTCCATGCCGATGTACATATCAAGGGCCCAGTTGAGCGGTTTGATTATCCGGGCGTACTGCTTGACCTGCGCCTGCAGTTGACTTTGGTGAGCTTGATGTTGTTGGACTTGATCTTCAGTCGTACGCCCCATACACCAAGCTTGTCCCATTATTACAGGGTTTTGAAGGATATTGTATTGGCATCGAATTCTACGACGCCACGACCGTACTGTGTTCTGAGTTCTGTGAGAGCATTGATTAGGAGAGTATTGTCGTTGCCGTATATAGAGTGCTGAACGATGACAACGCTTCTCATGCTAATGGTCGGTTCGAATGACATGGCGTTGGAAAAATTGTGGAATCTGGGAGTGTACTCGGCATCTGCCGCCTCAACGATGTCAGTTTGCCCGCCATGAGTAGCGGATTCAAGGAGAAATTACAACGGCAGTGAAAGAATTTAGCAGTACAACTCACCGAGACCATCTTGTATGGTTCTCAGAAAAAGCAGTCCGTTTGCAGAAAGGGCTAAGTGAACGCTTGCAATGATGAGATCGCGTGCGCCAGTTCTATGTCGAAATTGTGGGACTTTAGCGTAACAGGTGCCATACCAACGCCCCTCACGAGGTTTTTTAATCGTTCTTTGTCCACCGTTCCCCATACCCTAGACAATCCAAAAAAACTGGAAATTTGAGGCGGCATCCAATATACAAAGGCTGAGTACTTCCAAAACAGTCTGCTTTAAACCCCCGTGGTCCATATTTGCACGCACCGTGATTTTCACTATCTTGATCCCACATGAAGATTTTTATCAAAGAATCTATGGGCAAGCTACCTCCTCCATTCTATATCCTGGCAGCAGTTGTATTAGTGTTTGGTGGCATCTTAAAGGGCGAGCTTCCCTAGATGGGATTCGAATGACGCCGCTAATGTACTACCAGTTATAGGTTACGACGAAAATGGTTTCAGGGCTAGCGTGACTTTACCCACCTTCAAGAACAAGCGGATTTTATTGAACCAAGCTTCGACCTATGTTCTGATTATCGCAAAGCTAATACTGCAAAACTAAGATAGCGAGTTTTGATTGAGTAGCTCGCTTACTATAGAATGCACACTTTCATCCGTTGATAGGGAGTCGCAGAGATACTAACTCTCAAACTAGTTTACGAAAGGAGACAGAATAATTATGCGCAGATGCGCCTAGCTATTTTAAAAGACGTAAGTTTAGTTTTGCAGCAAACTTAACTAGTAACGTAAGTACGTAAGTACTACGTACTTACTCAACTACCTAAAACGACGCGCTAGCCGCGCCTTCTCCTAATAGGACATTATTGATAAAAAGAATTAGAAACATAAACCTATAAAAACAGGCTCTAAGTGTTGAGACAAGATGGAACCTCCGTAGCTCTCTACTTATAGCTGGCAAGGTACGCCGCTTTAGGTCAGTAGTAGCTTTTCAGCCCTCGTCGCCTATGGTGTATTATCTACTTATTCATTCTGCAAGCTTAATATTTTCCTAAAGAGAAAGGCATTCTTTGCATCTTATTATGAAGTCTATCTCGCTGCTTTTTAGTTATTATATCCACCTTCAAACTCACCCTCGCTTGATTAAATACTTACTGAATAAAGATATTCTAATTGTGAACTGTTCTCTGCCCTTTCGCTATCGTCACGGCAGGCAGATAATAAGAATGTTTAGGCTAGATTTCCAAAATTGTAGCGTATTATATTAACAGTTTTTGTAGCCTTGCGCTCTAAACTATGACATCTACATACATGAGCTAGGATAGGAGCATAAGTAGTTATGTAGGTGGCTAGCGTTCGTGCACAGCACCCGCAGCTTGATATCTATTTAACAAGTAGTAGAGGTATCTCGGTGGAGCAATAGGGCATAACGAATAGGCTAAATACCAAACCGACAATAGAAGGCTGGATATTTAACAGACAGCCAAAATCTGTTATGACTGGTTTATCAGAAATTCCCTTGCTAAAGGCCCAAGCACAGCCTCGAGTTCTGCAACTCTTTGCTCCGACCGCCGCGTATACGACAAGCTCAGAGAACCAGAAGGCGTCAATTAAGAGTTGGCACAACAGAGACTTCTTGTTAGTCCTACAGCTTGTAAACACACATCGCCACGGACCCTACATCTGTTACGAACAGGATTCCCACTATCACATTCTACCTTGTCATAATATCAATTATTCTGACCCTACAAATATTACCGAAACTTGCAAACCTTCTGCTTGCGATAAATGTCACATGGGAATGCGCTCTTCTTTGCGATCGAGTTATGTTTCCCGCCGGGGCTTGATATTGCCGCCGTGACACGCGCTTGATTCACTTCTTGAGATTCTATCAGTTTGTGTTCGAAAGAACTTAAGCAGCCGCGGTCATCGTCTGAGGTATGTGACGTGTAAGCGAGTGACAGGTTGCTGTTTCAAGGGGTTGAAGGAAAAGGATTTTAGCCTCGGTTGACTACGCGTGGACGCTTACTACGTATGTAGTATGTGATCTCTAACTACTCCACTCATTTGCTTCTTTGACGAATTAGTTTTCACATATCTAGAAGAGTATTATACCACAGCCGGACGAACAAAAAGGTCATAGACAACTTTTGACCACAGCTACCATCCTCAACTTAATTGCGACCTGCGCCCTGGTCCTGAAAAGCTCCAATCTTAAGGTAGCACAGTAGTGCGTGGAGCTCTGCCGATCAGAAATAGCATCCCCATAGGATTCCTGAACAGTTGACTCAAAATCATCTTCCCAATTCCCAGGTTTGATTGGCTAATGGACAATAGTTTGGCATGATGGCACAACCCAGAGGGTGGCACGGTAATGCTCATAAGATGCGGACGTAAGGCTAGCCTAATAATGTTCCATTAACCGCCACAGAATCAAGCCGACTCAGCGCTAGTCCTGTTTAAAATCGTTTTGCATAACTCTACTAGCGCAAGAGAACAACGCCTGGGACCCGAAAACGGCGGCCAATTCGCGAGATAGTGGCGTAGGCTGCACTTATTCTAAACCGTATGCAAATCCGATACGGGTCTCCTTGGATTTTATCAATTAGGAAATACAGAAGCTTAGTAAAAATGTCCTGTAAAGAGCCTACGAAATGGTGTTAATGTCAGAAACAATCTATCGCTTTGAGGCTACCATTGAAGATGTAATACCGCGAAGCAAAACTGGCCAGCAGCGCTACGTACGGGAGCAGGTAACCCTGATAATTATCTAGGTAGCTGATTATATTGATCAGGCAGAAAGTGGTTACTGAAGGGCAGTATAACGCCTACGAAGAGAGTACCAGTGAATGGTGGTACAGACGTTTCAGTTAAGTTTGACATAACTCTCGCATCTTCTGACTAGAATTAGAAGATACAGCAGTTAGCGGTGTGTTAAAAGAATGATGTTCTATTCTAGACAACTGAAAAATTGTAGTAGTGCTGCGCAATTTTATTACAAAGGTCGGTTGTCGCGGGAAGGTGGCCGAATCATTGATGAACCACGTTATTCAGTATTACTAATTTCTTAGGAAATTACCTCCGCCTATTGACGTCTCCCATTAGTGTTTTTTATTACCCACTAGATCGAGATACACATATAGACCTCAAGAATCTCCGTCGCCTTTTATGATGACTAGATTGTTCTTGCTAGCAGCATTGTGCTTGCAAACATCCTTCCCTCTAAAGGCTAATTCAAAGAATGAATAGAGCTCTATCAAGCTGTAAGCAAGAATTGTTGGCAGCATTAACAGCCAATGTAACAAGCCCCTCGTTATCCCCCGAAGACTCTTGTTGTAGTGATTGTTACTATCGCCGGGCACAGGTAGGTTCCAACGAACGAGGACAGTGGCAATCAGTAGAAACGCGTACTGTGTTCCTAAGAAAATCAAGCAGATTTTTGAAAAGAGAGAGTCGCTGATGAAAATTCGATCATGTTGAGCAGCGACCGTATTAACAAGCTGAATAATGATGGGGGAAACCACAGAAAAAATGGCACTGGCACAGAGAACGAGGCCATAGTAGGTGAAGAAGCGAGTAGCCCAGCTGATGGACAGATAAAGCCCAGGAATTCGGTACGTCTTGACAATGAAGTAGTGGAAGACTTCACCTGCGCCAATGGTCCATCGGCGAATTTGAAGGGCCCATTCGCGGATTTCATCTCCGTAGTTGGCACCGGAAGTCGGACCGTTGATTGAAATGAGGTTCAACGGCCGGATGCGAATTTCTCTTTGTGTCATGATCGTGTAGCGGATTAAGGCATTGATATCTTCCATCTGATAAGATGGGTGGGTAAAGGCGCCCTCCTCCAACAATTTCACGCTGAGAGAGTAATGGGACATGGGATTGATGTTCCATGGAATCAAAACACCCATGAAGAAAAACGTACGCAGAACACCGGTAACGTCGACGAAAAAAGGCATGGAGTCGCGCTTGTAGATGATGATGGATTGCCAAATGGAGGAGTGGCGGTCGGCGGAATCCAGCTTCTTGTACTGGGTTTCCAACTCCAGCATGTATTCGGGGTCGAAAACAGAGTCGCAGTCGCAGTTGGTAAAGATGTGTTCGTATTTTTCATAGTTGTATTCGACATCTTGACGGAGAATATCCAAACCTTGGCGACAGGCGTAGTTCATGTTGGAGCACTTGCCGCTAATCTCGCCGGGAATGCCTGAGGGGTGGAAGGTGATGATGAGACGGAGGAATTTACTTTTGTACTTTGCGTAGATTTCATTGCACTTGGCCTCCTTATCAGGTGTCCGGCATTCCATGCCGATAATGATGGAGAGTTGGGATTTGGCATCTTTTTGCAGCACAAGAGAGTCCAATGTAGTTTGAAGTACACTCATAGGCTCCTTGTACAAGGTCATGGCGACTATGTGGCGAACTGTTGAGTGATTTTTGGTCATAGAATCAGCTGATTCCACATCTTGAGCTTTTGTGTTCTTGAGCTTGTTTCGGTTGTTGATGGCTAGTGTTCGTCGAATGGCGCAAATAGTGGCAATCAGCCAGATGATTTGGAAAACACCGATTATGGTTATGATGACAACGTTGGTTGCTTGATTGACGTAGGGAACAAAAGGCATCCAGATAGGGAAAAGAAGAAAGATGAATATTGTTAAGAGAAACAAGAGGTTCCAACGGATATAGCGGTTGGCTGCTTCTAGTTTTGCAGCGTTAACGCCATTATCTAGATCCTTGTGAGAGGAGGAGGAGGAGGAAGAGGGTAACGACGAAGGCATATTGCGGCAATTTTGCTCTCGAATCAACTAAGGAAACATTTACAAGAGAAGAACGAACAAGGAAAACTCTTCACTTTTGTATGTGCTGAGTGTGTACTTACTCGTCGTTCGATAATTCAGGGACAATTTATCTCGGTACACTTCTGAGGCGTTAATGGCATAGCTGACTAGGGCTGGGACTGGCGCCACGTGCATTGATCTCGGAAAATTCTCTGAGGGTCCAATGTTGACTAGACCAATATGTGTCAACCTGCTATCAAAGTCAAGACTGCTTAGTATGCACATGGGTCCTTGACTATAGATTTAGAACTATTACGAAATCAACGGTATCGTAGATCACATATTCGAAGCAACAGAAAGTCTTCATGGGAATAGAACTGTGTGATGTGGCGTTGATGTGGCTGGCGTCGGCTAGAGGTCTAGAACCTGGAACGGAAAAGCCACAGCCACAGTATTGTCATGAACTGCCGAAGAAGGCGCTCAAGTAGTTGGCATTTGTTGTATTGTTGACTTGACGCTACGCCTGATGGAGATCAAAGCAGGAGCTGAGGAAAACATCCTTTTGCAATTCGGTTCGGCCGAAAGCTGCCAAGGCGAGCCTCCTCCTTACTATGTAGTCCGTGCGGCCTCGCCAAAGCGAGAGCGCATAAGTCCTCGCGCTACGCTGTACTATATCCGAGGATAAAGTCGTCAGCTTCTGCCTCCGTCACGTTGCGACACATCAGTCCAATGATCACAGCTAACTCGGCATCGTAACCTGCTAAATGACTTGAGTGCGATATTCTTGGCAGTGTAAATGGCGATGAAGAAAGATTGTTGAGGCTGGTGGCTGGCTTCCAATGAGGAAATTAGTAATGGATGGTTGTAGACCGTAAGTGACTAGCAAGAAGACAGTGGGAACTTCTAGCAAAGGCAGTTATATCTCCTTGGCGTGCTTTTGATACTGGATATCATATGTTGAGTACAAAAAGATGGAATTCCAGGTAGGTCGACAAGGCGTCTTACATTGAGACCAATGCATCTAATAGTGCCTACCTCATCCTGCGCGAGTCGAGAGAATACCCGGTCGGCTGACACTTTTTGCTCTGTCCTGTTTCCTGCAGAAAACACTGAACAATTCGTGAAAAGGTAGGTTCAGACATCCTGTCAATTCCTCAAGCCGAATCCACGTCAGCAGTGCTTGATAAAAGCTCGCATATCGGAACTCTGGAAGGCTCGTTCTTGGCAATGAACTCGATGAGGCCTGTAGCTCAACTATTAGGTTTCCAGCTCAGTGTTTCTGCAACCCTTTTGGATCATGTTTACGTGTGAAAGGATGCAGCCATATATTGACGGCTGTGAAACAGTCTCGGTTTGCGTGTGCTTCAAAGTGTATGGTATTCAGCCTCGCATCGGCTTATGAATACTTAAGTTACAACACTTGTATGTTTCTAGTCTAGCAAGCATGTCATGTGGTAAAGTTGAGGTAGGGGCCAGGTTCCGTGAAGGAATCGTGGGGATCCCCACGATAGTTCTCCACCAACCCCACCTCCATCTTAACTCTTCTCCACCGCATACCATCTTGTGTCCAGACACAACAGTGGAAAAGCCACAGCTAGGATAAAGGATCGGCGCAATTAAGCGTTTTTGACGATCGGAACTGAATCCGAATTTGTTTGCCGCTCAACGTTGAAGCCGGGATCTGTGATTTATATTCTTATTGTAATCTCGAATCTCAATGGCGGTTTCACGTACTGCAATTCCATTTCCACCCTACGCGACAAACACAGATCCACAAATAGACGACTGCTACAATGGGAGTCTCAATTTTTAATCGCCATATCGACAATGACACTTTCATACCCATTGATAGCCAAGCCAATGGGGTTAAGGTCAATGGCGAGGATAAAGGAGTTGAAGTGCCTGTCCTAGTGATCGGAGCTGGACCGAGTGGCCTGCTGCAAGCCTATCTCTTATCACAATTGGGGGTAAAGACTCTGGTCATTGAGCGTTACCCAGAAAGGCTTGGAGCACCCAAGGCCCATGCCTTGTCACCCAGATCACTCGAGATATGCCGCCAATTTGGTCTAGATGTGGATCATATCAGGAGTCTGGGCACGCAGAGAGATGATGCATACTGGGTCAACTTCCTCACGACGCTGTCGGGTCAGGTCCTGGGACAGCTTCCATACGAGCGCATGGATCCGGGGGTTCTTGATTTCACACCAGAGATGATCCACAACATCCCCCAACCAACCTTTGAACATTACCTTGTTGAGAAGCTCTCAAACGACTGTAATGTCGAAATCCGCAGAGGCGTGTCGTTTGTCTCCTTCGAGGAAAAGAACGGCTCGATTACAACCGTGGTTGAGGAACGTGCGACTGGTCAAATGTACAAGGTCAGATCCAAGTATTTGATAGCCTGTGATGGAGCAAAAAGCAAGGTACGCGATTTTATGGGCATTGAGAGTGATGGCGAAGATTCATGTAAGCTTCATCTCGTTTTGTTGATTACATTCATTGCCAACACTAACAAATTTTGCTTTCAGATCAGACTATGATGACTATCCATTTCAACGCCAACCTTCGGGAAGTGGTAGGTCATCGTGTAGGCATGCTTCACTGGCTATTTGACCCGATAGCATCCGGCTTTATCATCGCGTACGATCTCTCAGGAAACGCTGTCCTCATCTCTAACTTCGATTCTGTGAATTACCCTGTCGAGTCATGGAATGAGGATTTTTGTCGCCAGGTTCTCAAGGGAGCAATCGGCAAAGATGTTTCACCTACTATTCTGAGTTACCGCCCTTGGATCCTCAGTAGAAAAGTAGCGAAGTCATACCGACAAGGGAACGCATTTCTTGCAGGTGATGCCGCTCATTCGTTTCCACCGACAGGCGGTCTGGGACTCAACTCGGGCCTTGCTGATGTCCATAATCTTGCTTTCAAGATTGCTCATGTCCATCATGGGGCGGCTGACGCTTCCGTTTTCAAGTCCTATGAAGATGAGCGTAGACACGTTGCCGAAGTCAACTCACGACAGAGCGTCAAAAATGGACAAAACATCTTTGGCCTGCTAAAAGCCTTGGGAACGGCAGGCATATCTGATATAAACGAAGCTCGACAAAATCTGCTCAAAGCTATCAATGATCCAGCGAAGATGAAAGAGGTTGAGTTCGGGATAGAAGAGCAGAGAGAGCATTTCGATAACCTCAACCTACACATTGGGTATGTCTATGGTGATACACAGATTCCTAGTCATGCGTCGCACTTCAGGCCCAGCTTCCGTCCAGGCGCAAGGCTGCCACACGCCTGGTTAAAAGGCTCACTACCAGCAACTGTGCCACAGCTAAAGCCAGTCAACCTCAAATATGTAAAAGAGCTTACCGCAGATCAGATCAAGGCGAAACAATACAGCACACTGGATCTTTGTGCTCCTAATGCATGGACAGTCTTGTTGCCAGCAGAAGACAGCCCGTTGGATACAGCCGTTTCCTCCATTGCCGCCGACTACAGCAATATCAAGTTCAACGCTCTAAGATATGGCAAAGACTTTGCCGTAGTAAGAGAAAACACAGACCTGGATTGGCTAACCCAGTCTGGTTTGTCTGAAGGACGTGCTCTATTGATCCGGCCAGATCAGCACATCTTTGGGTCCTTCGGCACAGAAAGTGAAGGGAAGGAAGTCGGCCAGGATGTTGCAAAGTTTTTGGGTTTGCAATGAGTCTACTCTAAGCTTGTATTATCGCGAAAGATGTTCATGATATGATTTGCTAGATTTTTCGGACGTTGGTGTTCTATTCAATCAAATCTAACGTGGATTCGAGCATTCACCCGTACAGTTTTTTGAATCGACTGTCACCTTACGTTGAACTCTTGGTACCGTTGTTATCTTTGTAGTCTTCCCTTCTTTCGATTCACCTTATATCATGAATCAGTGACCAATTGGGTTTCGTCACGTATTTCACGATGCCCATGGTTATTTTCATCATCATTGAAGTTTTTTTTTATCTCGAGGGCATAATATATTGGTCGAATGCCTGTCTATAGGGATCGTTGACAATAAGGGAGTTTTAAAGTGTGTTGCGGCTATGATGCTTCAGCCTTGATCACGTAAAGAAAAGAATATCGCTTAGTAATCGCCAGTTGCCAAAGAGCAATCTTATGAGCAATGATAGCATGAGGAGGCTGAAATTATTGTATGTAGAGGATGATCAAGTGCGTGTCGCCAATACAGCAGTGGCAGTGAACGAAGTGCTTAATGCCCTGGATGAGATGCAAAAGGCAAATACACTACATCACATTGACGATCCGCAATGATAAATGTAGTCAAATACTGAGTTTTTCATGAGCTATAAGGGTATAAGCTTATATAAAACAAGCCTTGATTTGAATGACAAGTTTCTAGAGGTCATTAGGCTCACGCTTTCACAAGAAAGATTTAACAAGGCTAGATCGACCATGCGACTCGATGGATTTATCGGAGATTCGGTGAAGGATCAATGAGTATGCAATGAGTTCTCCTACAATTTTGTCATCTTTGGAATTCCTTCCAAGACTAAGCCATGAGACTTTAGTTTCCACGGCCACCAGCTCTGCCTCAGCAAATCTCTCTACCAATCGCAAATCATCGTGCACTCTGGTTTACTGGAGCTGAACCAAATGCAATCGAGACAGTTCGGTGCACTGGTACCAGCATTCTACAGCGAGAGGATAAACTTGGCTTGGAGCTGATGCATTTGCTGGCGGCGGCCGAACAGTAATAAGGCACAAGTCCACATGCTTATGGGGTGCTGGATTCGATCTGATCGACGAAATTTATGTGGAGCGTATAGAGACAATCGAATCGTACCGTATGAAGGTATCACACAATTTTGCCGGTGAACGAAGACTTCATCCGCTTAGCCGAAGCTATCCTGGAAGGGTTCTTACTTTACCAGCCCTTCCTTTCATTGCTAGAAGGACTCGGCTTTCTCACATACGAAAATATTACGATGAGACATATTTTTGCTGGATTGACGGTTTTACTGATACCAGTGCATTCTATTATAAGCCTCAGTCTAACGTGATTGTTTTCGAGTCCGACCATCACTATGGCGTGTTTGTGAAAAATAGTGAACCAACCAGATTTCACATTCATGCCCTGCTTCGAATACGAAATGGAGGTGAATATGCAAAAACATTGATCCCGCTGGCTCCGGGTCAGAAAAAATAATCGACGTGGGGAGCGACCGAAATCACAGACATGGGATCAAGAATACGCGGGTTTCAAGAAAAAGAAGTACTATGTTGGTAGATTGGTCTATAGAAGGTGGGCCAGAGATGTGGTAGAGTCAGAGTGGGGAACAATGGGGGAGACGAATAAGGACTGTCAAGCGATATGCGTGTTCTCCTAGTGGCTGCGTCGATGGGAAAATGACAGAGATGCCAGTGTCTATTCAAGCAGTATACGAAAAGACGGACATGGCATGTTATCGTTGTCCGTTGAATGTGAGTGGTTTCTCAACAGCGAAAACAAAACCACAACCGCAGCATGTATAGTGATTCGTCTTGTCTGCACTAAAGCTTTGAGATAGTGCTAGTGTTATGTGTGGCGACGCCCCGCATGTTCAGCTATCCGTTTGTGGGCGTCCCCGCCGCTGTGGTGGAGAGGTAGTACCGAGGCGGACACTCGCCCATCTCAGACGTTATTCCGGCCTGTTCCGAATGACGAAACGATTGTCTCCGACGGTCCAGATAGTCCTCAGCGCAAATCGGGTAAATCGCCATCTCTCCCCGTCCCATTTCAACTCGCCTGTGAACCGATTTGCAGCAAGAAACAAATCGTTGTCCCAAGATGAGATCTTGCTGTGGGGAGTGCCTTGAGGTAAATGTTGAGCCAGTACATATGCCGTAGCAGTAGCGGTTTTAGTGCCATCTTCTAAGGTCTCCATATGAGATCGGACATTGTTAACCATATGGGTGGAAAGCACAGGCGCTGGACCCGTCATCTGCCAATTCAGCATCTCTTTCATCCCCCGGAGGACCCCGTAGTCCTTTCCCAAAAACGTCAAACCACTAACATCCCATTCTGTGTCTTCATAGACACAGCTCTTAAACATTGCAGCATCCTCGGAGTCGACTGATTCAGTAAGGCGATGGATAGTGTCCGCAATGGCCTCGTGATCAGTAAGGTGGCTTCCAGGCTTAGTTATGCCCGAGAAGCTTAGTAACGGAAAAGCCATTTCTTTAGACTAAGGAGATGGTTGGATGTGTAATTCTCGCGTGGTAGTAGATAAGGTAGACGGTTTGGTTAAAGAATTCGGAGTAATAATACTGATATCTAACCAGTCATCCGGGCGACCGAATTTTATAGCGCAGAGACAAACGCAGGCATAACTGTTGATTATGCACCTGATTATGTCAACTAGCCCTAGGGTGGGGAAAAATCCCTCATATGATAGTATTGACGGACTAGTCTAACCAGAACTTCATGCAAAGGTGGTGTTTTGCTTGAACTTAGTGGAACTTGTGGTGTTTTGGAAGCACCACCAGTTCCACTAATAAGTTCCCCACCGGAATTTACCGACAGCCCCACCAATCCCCGCAGGCAATTCGGGGCTAGCCGGAATGCTACTGTACCCCTCTCCAAGTTCCTCTGTGACCTCTTTAAGATCCTGGCGCAACAATTCTATCTTACCCAGATTTTTCTTCTGCCTACTCCGTACAATCTTAACATTTCCCATGCGATATGGCACGAACCTTAGAGGAAATCATCAACGAATTTAGAGATCGTGAGAAATCCAAGAACATCACGACGGCCGTTTGGTATATTGTAGCAGTATTGTACCATGTAGAAGTGGGAAAATAACCAAGCGCTGACATTACATAGGCCGCTGCTCTAGCCTCATCGGGTGCAGGACCCGATGTTGTACAGCTATACCAAGCAGCAACAAAACAAATTAATTTGGATGACCAGAAAATCGTTCAACGACGTATCAAAGAGGCCATACTGAAGACAAGCGCTTTATATGGTGTTCCGAGGTCATTACAAGCATTGCTCCCCTTGTTCAACTCCCTAAAGGACGAAGAGATCGATCATTACGGCCCACGGTGAGTAGCAGACGTGATCTATTTTTGCACAATGAGTAATTCGAAATGTGCCACTAGATGGGAGGCCATGCAAGCTGATGCACAGAGCCGCACGATATATGAGAAAACTCGTTACGAAAAGGCACGGCGATACTTCGATACGGTGTGGACTCCTGCTGGCGCACAAGCTAACAGAGATAAAAATTTCAAATATCACCCAGATCTTTGTATGTCATTACGTCTCTTCTATTACCATGCAATTGCTTATAGCGTCTGATAAACAGACCTCCTCAATACTCAATTAGTCTATGAGCACTATTTCTCCGAGGATGCTATTCTTAACCCAGTCGAAACGCAGATGGGTAACATAGCAGCTTTGATCTGCTGCAATTGTCCTGTACAAGTAAGATAGCACCAAAATCCCCCTTGAAAAAGGAATACGACACAAGAGGTGCGCTTGTTATTAACACAATGTTATCCATAGGCTATGTGGCACACTCGTGGGCTTATAAACCATGGAGGAACTATAAACCAGGCAGAATTCTCGCATGAACTCGCCGTCGCCATCGCTACCTTGTATGAATGTAAAATAGGCAACCTCACTCCGGTGAGCCAGATTGACTTCGAAAATTATGAGACTCTTTAGGTGCATTCAAACGGAAGATATCCAGTAGATGCTACCTTTTTGCCTGTGGGTGATACTCAAAGGATAACCCTCGCAATGAACTTAAAGATTCAAATTGTAGTTCAGATATTGATTTCTTCCTAACCAAGTATCTTATAGACAGTAACTTTAACCACATGTAAAGTGGAAGGAAAATCTAGCCTGATGAGCCCTGGTAAACACCATACCCAGAGATTGTTTTGATTCGATCCACAAGCCATACAGCACTCATCAAAATGGACTGCCCGTCAGCCCAACGCAACATTTAGATGTTGTTTTATTATGAAAATGCATATGTTTGGTCGACGCTTAGCGAAAGAGTTGCGGTAACGATCAGCCTAGGCGCGTTGCGCAGTCTTTCATAAGACCCATGGCGTGCTGGTGTAAGAGTTCCATAAACCAGCTTCCGCCATTAGCTTACGATGCTCAGTTTTCGCATTTTTGCGAGCAATCTGTAGCAGTAGGCGATGAGCTCTACTAACTGAAACAGATGGGTAGCCTATCCGTGGGCGTGAGACATAGCTCCCAGTTGTTTGTAGAATTGTATGGCTTTCTGTACGCAGCATGCGGTGCAGTTCAGCGCGTCTGCACACCAGCTTCAACTTGGGCCAAGCAACAAATGCGCTGGAGTTATATCAATCCACATCTGCGCATCGAATTCCCGGAGGATTAGGCGCCATAAGACCTAAGGGTGGTGCTGTGAAATAGTTACAAAAATCATCCAGCTGGTGCGGTCTCATTTGATGTTGGTGAGATGTGCACGTGTGGACAGATTGGTGTATTGGCCCCGCAAGTTTCGTTGCCCCGCGTGGAGAAGCCCCTCTAACTCGCGGGGAACTGGAAACTCCAAGCCAGCTTGGCGATCTGACGCACATACATCGCGGGGTATTATAGGTGGGGCTATACTGAAAGTAATACAACCTTACCAGTCTCATTGTTACCATTCGCTGAAAACCAATCTCGGGGCACCTGTCAACGGTATACCGAGGTGCAGTTGAGGGTCAAGTGGGGATGCGTGGAGAGGCAGAGCAGCATTGGCTTAAACCTTGCTGTGGGCTTAACCCTATTTTCCACTAGTAAGTAAAAGGTCGAGCTTGTCAGCTGAGTATTACACGAGGAAAACGAAGATTGACTTCTCTACAACTTAACCAGTAAATCATTCCCTAGCCACACCCAAAGATTGACCCACTTTGCCCGTCCATACTCTCATCAATATGGCCTCGACTGCTATCCACCCACCTAGCGCTGGACCCAACATCCAGGAGATGTTTTCTGATGTGGTTATCTCAAAAATCACTCCAGCGTCGGAACATCCCTTCTATAACTATGACGGCTTTGAGCCTGGGAATCGAGTCCTCGACGTAGGCCATGTCCGTTCCCCTGGACGCAGGCCATTTGGCGTTCGGACTATTTATGACCGGGATCAAGCGATCACTGTCCGTGATGGTGCGCGTTTGTATGGCGACATCTTTCGCCCAGAAACATCGGATAAGCAGCCGGTCCCATGCATACTCCCTTGGAGTCCTTACGGCAAGACGGGTACTGGCCCACAGTCATACGACTCTATGGCTCCTTACCGCGCCGGCATTCCACTCGACCGCACATCAGGCTATGAAAAGTTTGAAGCCCCAGATCCGGCTGAGTGGGCGGAACGTGGCTATGCTGTAATCAACGTTGATGCTCGCGGATCCGGACACAGCGAAGGTGTCATTGCCCTCTTCGGTAATCAAGAGGCTAACGACATTTACGATGTCATCGACTGGCTTTCTCGCCAGCCTTGGTGCAACGGTTCGGTCGTCATGGCTGGCAACTCGTGGTTGGCCATCGCCCAGATTAACTTTGCCTCGAGGCTGCACCATCCGGCGCTCAAGGCAATTGCCCCTTGGGAGAGTTTCACCGACATATACCGTCACTTTGTCGCCCGTGGCGGTCGACCGCACATTCCCAGTTTTCATCGATTGATTTCAGGAGGCTTTGCTGGCCCTGAAGGGGCAGAGAATATTCTTGCAATGCTTCAGAAACGTCCTTTGTATGATGATTATTGGGAAGCTAAAAGAATTCCTGTTGAGAAGATTGACAACATCCCAATGTATGTTGTTGCTTCCTACTCAAGCATGCTGCATACCTATGGGTCGTTTCAGACGTTTCGACAAGCAAAGACGGAGAACAAGTGGCTCAGGGTTCATCCATACCAAGAGTGTAAGTTTCAATGACTAGCCACCTACATCTTCTATCCTATCATCCTGTCTTTACATCTGTCCACCAAGTAAAGCATGAATATTTTAACCGACGTTTTGTCGACTGCTAGGGTATGACATTTATCGCTCGTCCATCTCGAATGAACTTCAGCAGTATTTCGACTCCTATTGCAAACCTAACGATACCACAAACCCTAAAACATGGGAGTCATCGACGCCGCGAGTGCGACTTTCTCTTCTCGGTTTTGAAGCAGACGGAAGTTCAGCAAGAACTGTCATTGAGAGGCCTGAGCAGAGCTATCCGCTTGAGAGGCAGGAGCTACGGACTCTGTACCTCGATGCAGAAACAGAGCTCCTTACTCTGGATAAGCCAAATCGGAAAGCAACCAAATCTTACGAAGGGAGAAGTTTGAATGATCACCTGGTAAGTCATGTCTAGTTTGGTCTTTTATTATGTAGTCCAGCTTAATCAAGCCCTTTCTGGACTGTTTTGAGACTGTATATTTTTACTGATGAAAACCTAGACTTTTACAACAACATTCAAATCTTATACCGAGCTAGCTGGTTACCCCAAGGCCATTTTGTACATGTCCTGTCCGGATCACGATGACTTTGACGTTGTCGTGCAGATTCGCAAGATTGACGCCAAAGGCCGGCAGCTATCTCATCTCAACTATCCCTGCCCTGCACCCATTGACCAGGTCCCCAATGTAAATGTCGTCAAGACTCTAGGTCCCCAAGGTTTTCTTCGTGCTTCACACCACGTGTCACTGCATGGTGATGGAGGACCGGTGCCCTCCTGTGATCTTTCTAGCGAGACAGATCCTTTGTACAGTCACCGTAGCCGGGCACCCATCGTTCCAGGCACTACCATCCGCCTTGAGATACCAATTTGGCCGATTGGTATGGTCTTTGAGGCCGGAGAAGGAATCGCGTTGAATATCTCTGGTCATGATATGTGCCTCCCTGAGACAGAGATGTGTCGGTTGGCAGAACCAGAGGATGAGAATGTTGGACGGCACTATATACACACAGGGGGAGAATTTGACAGTCGCTTGATAATTCCTGTCATTGAAGGTTGAATGAGCCGGCTGATGGCTTGGACGCTAGTGTTGAAAAAGGCAGACGGAGGTGTAAAGAAAGATTCAATTATTGGAAAATTTGCACAGTTTTTAGGTTTCCCTCTACCTCTTGGACATGACCAAAACTCGATCCTGGAACTCCCTATTCAGAATGGCTTCAACAAGTAGTGAGTAGTGAATTCAAAGCTAAATTCCGCCTATTCGTACGGTCGGTGGTTGAAGAATAAAATTTGGTGCATGCTATGATTTTACAAACCATCTTCCTGATCATTTGCTCAATCTTTTAAAGGATTTATAGTCTCAAGACGTGATAAGATTGTCCCCATTTCGACACACACACCCCACTGAATAGACAGGCCATGAATCGTCACTTTTAGCTTTTTTATGTCAAAAGGAATGTTGCGTGTTGGACCTAGCGCGTAGTTTGGCCTTGTCAAATCCGATAAAAGGAAGCTTTGTGTCTTTCTCCAAGATGGGTCGTGTGCAAGGCTTTCTGGGGCTTCTGCAATGTTCGGTTGAGCAATTAATGTAGACTCCCAGTGTACAGCTGTGGGAACAGAAACTGATGCCACACCGCCCAAGCGGAAATGTGAGTAAAGTATAGATGCGGCGAAGAGAGGTATGGGCATCCAGAAGGTATTGATGCGATTCAACGGGAGCTGACCTATCATGTCCTGTATAGCTACGGCATGTAGAAAAGCGTATTTGGCATCAGTAGATCCTCTGATCCAATCTAGTGAATCTTTCAGCTCTGATCTGCTGTTCCTTGGCTTGAAAATGTGTTGACTGATGTGCAGATAGCGACAGGTCTGGTCAAGAAGCTCAATTGAGTCACTGAGCAGATCCAAACAAACAAAATGCCAGTGAATTGTCAGCTCTAGACGCTCAGTATGGTCTGAGGACCAGGTATTGGTCAAATGCTGAAATACCCTCACTAACGCCAGCTTCACTTCAGGTAGCGAGGGGATTTTGACGATGGATTTGGATGTGTGCGCCTCGCGGTTGTCCCGAACTAGAGCATGCAGACATTCCAATACGACACGGACATCCAGTGGCATTGATAAGGTGTACAAGCAGGAACTACTATCATCTCCATGATGAGTAGCAGAGAAGAGCTCGTAGTATATGTCACAGAACGTAAACGTAGAATCATGGGGCTGCTGCTCCTCTGACTTATAGCGCCATTCTTGGGCATCCTGTGCCTGGAAAACGGTGGAGCGGGCCGAAAGCCTCAGATTGTTTGTTGCATGCAAAACCGCAGCTGCTGGTCTACCTGAAAGATAGCCTAGTTGACCTTCGAGGATGTAGTGGCCGACGAGTGCCCGGTGATGGACCTCTGTTGCAGCCCACTTTTCCCAAGTATGTTCATCGATGGCTTGTTCTGGAGAGCTGGTGGGCTGTTGCGATGGTGAAGGTCTAAATAGGTTGTTCTGATTTGCCCAGTTGAATCCTAGGCTATGAAACACCTGACTGGTAAGCTTAAGGTCCGTATTCTAGAAGAATTAGTAAAGAGATGTGGTACGTAAACTGGTCTCAGAGAATACCTGAGACATCATGGCATAACATTGGCCGAGCAGTGCGGTCAGCACCAGCTGAACGCTTCTGTGTGAATCGTAAGGGCCTCTATGGCGTAATAGTACTGGCCACTAGGATCGCTCAAGTTAGCAAGCGAGGCATAGTTCAGGTCAAGGGAACAAACAGAAGTGGCTACGGCAGTGTGTGCGAGTCTCCATAACACCTCGCCCTTATGAGATGGAGTATATCAGTAACCTTCATCAATACGAAGGAAGAGTACATGAACTAACTTTGGAAACTGCGTCTTCTGTGCCAATGTACAACGATCCAAGGGCGATAGCATTGAGTATTAAACTTGGTGAGCAGTCTCGAAAGACAAATGTCGGCCTATGAAGTATGGGAAAGTAGAGGTTAAAATGGGAAAAGAATGCTTGAAGACAGTTATCCAGAAAGGCTGAACTCAATTCTGGCAGAGCTTCCACAGCCGAGGTGACGTTTTGTGACTGTTTCACGATTAGCTACCTACTATAACCGGATAGTGTGAACATTGTAGGATAACAGTAGTACATACAAAGCTGGTGACCATATTACTGAGACTTTGAATTGCCTCTCGTGAGCCGTTTGGGGGGGATAGTTGCTCTGGATCCTGGGTTTCATCAGCATGCATTGACTCAATATTTGTAGGGTTGAGCTGTGGTGCCGGCTGCTGGCATGGGTGAGCTGAGGACATGCTCCCTGGCGGAAGAGCTAGAGAACCCCAGTCAGATGTGACGATGCTTTGCAAGAGGGCTTCCGCATCGGGCCATTCTAGAGAAATTCTGAGATCATCAAGCCCAGAGCTGGCCAAGGCTGGGTCAAGAAGTAGAGAACCAGCCTCAATGCCTGGACCTGCTTGATAGCTGCCACTCTGGGGCTGGTCGGTAGCGGATTGGAAGCTTGCATAATCTGGTGTACCGGAAGACAAGGACCATGTAATTTGCTGCTGCTCTTGCTGCTGCTGGTGCTGAAGCTCGACGCGAGTATGGGTTCGCTCGTGCCTTGTCACCGAATCAGGCCTGCTAAACTGCCGTCCGCAGATGCGACAGGAAAATGGCTTTTCGCCGGTATCTAGAACATGGAGCAGAGGCAGACAGTTAACGGATGCGTCATAGTACTTATATATATCATGGACCTAGACAAAAGGCACAAGCTAATAGGAAATTCTAGGGGCTGTTGGCGCTTACGAGATCGCTCATGCCTCTACTAATTTTAGTAACTTATCGTCTATAGCATGGAGAGTATAGATATGAACGTATAGCACAAACTATGCTACAAGCAGATGAGCACAGCACTACTCACCTGCAAATGTTCTGCTTTAGAATATGTTCTGTTGCAGATTGCACACTTCAGGGCCGATTGTCTACCGCTAGACCGTGTGCCTTGTCTTGCCATGGCCAGCCTTAGCGTTGATAGCACAGCACGCGTCAATGGCAGTCAATAGTCGCTGGCAGCTAGTGCAATGATAATAGAGCTAAAGGATTGTGCGGGAGAGGACGCGTAATGTCCGTGCGGATGCTGTGAGCTGAAAAGGTGAAGTTGCGTGGAGAGGGCAGATAGATGGTGAAGAAGGAAACATGAGTCTCTGTTCGAAATCCAAGATCGGTTCAGGAAACTACGTACTTAGTAATAACTGACTAATCAGCTTGCGGCTAATTTCGGTCTCCGAGACGTAAGCAGAACTGCGAGCGTGAAAACAAAACCAGGTCTTCTACACAGCCTATAACGTTGAGAGTGTATAAATATTAAGATGCATAGTGCGCGGGTGTGAGAGTTGTGTTGAAATATTTTGAATTAAGTAATTCTCCTAGGAGTTCATCTGGCCCAGCTTCGCACGGGTATTGATAGAATTACATTTCGCGATAGTATGGTTTTACAAGCGACAGCAGAAAGAATTTCTCCTCTCATGCCAACAACAGACGATTGGGAATCTACTAAGAGATCCTGTTAGAAAGAATGATTATCGTTGGGCGTAAGTCACGTGACATTGCCCTCCTACCAAGAGCTAGCCTCCTACTAAGGAAGTACGCTAGCATTTTAAACATGTGCCTTATTTTAGTGTATAATTGTCTTTTCTCTATATTTCGTTGTTGTACGCCTAGACTAAGACAATAGTGTAACGGCGCTGGGAAGAAGAATTGGATTTATTTTAGAGGGAGAGTCACTTAGAGGTGCTAAAGTAGGAAGGCAGCTACTTATTCCTAGTAGACTCAGAGGCAGATAATACCATCGACGGATTCTAGATAGAAAGATTGTGCTAGGGGAGAGAGAATCGAAATTAGTTCATTATTATCTTCTTATTTTGCTCTACCCTGCTATCTGCTCGCTATTCTAATACTATATATATTCCTTGTCTCAGATTCTAGAGAATTCTATTTAGCAGTAACTAGCTTATGTAATTCTTGTTGTAATAAATGGAAATTACTAGATAATAGTATTATAAAGCGATGTGGAAACGTCTCTAAAAGCAGCGGCTAAAGACTGCCTAAAATAAATGCATTTCAACTGCTACTTAGACATTTGTTACAAGTAATAAGAAGGATTCTCTCCTTAACGTAGGATGACGAGGTTAAGGGCCAACCACGTCCACGTCAAAAGGTAATAGACATCGCGGGGCTCGTAGTCACGTGATAAGGTGCTCTCGCCAAGAGCCATGCTCCCGCCAAGGAAGGGAGCA